ATGGTTCAAAAGTTATATCTTTTTCAGCTGCCTTTTTAGGCTAGATTGCTTATTATTCTTCATGTATTTAAACCATCGTTTGCAGCTAGATTGAAAGAATCGGACCTTCATCATTCGATATTCCTAAGTGTACATTACTAGCAATTACGCCTAGAGATACGGCCAACAAATAATCACTTCTTCGGTAGACCCACATATTTCTGCCACAGAGACTTACTAGTTTTTCAGCTATAAAAGGGGGCTACAGCTTATAGGTAAATACCTAAGCATAGACGTGATTTTAAAGTGTTAAAGTCTATACTTAATAACAATTGGGTGATATGGAGAATCTATACGATAGTTAGTCCGATAATCTGATAGATATCGGACGATATCTAATGATATCTGTCAAGGTACAGGCTGGCGAGGTGGTAGAGCTGGTGGCAAGCAGGCAGGACAGATAGGCTATAGTTCACAAGGTCTTCTGGATTGCTATAGGGTCAAGCTAAATACGGGTTGATAGACAAGACGGAGCTGACAAGACCAAGCCCCAACAGCCAACAATATATCGCAGGTCCTTAGTGTCAGGAAGATCTAGCTTCCGGGCTTTCGCAAGGGCTTTCTGCCAACATGTAATCCAGGTCTCGATCTTTGATCGTTGCGGTGCCTTAAGGACTGCGTAGTAGCTCTCGAAGACTTCTTGTTCGTATGCCCAGCCCAGTCTGTGGGCTGGACTCGTGCCTGTAGCAAGGCTAGTTCAGCAGTAACATCGTGTTCATCCGCGATCGCGCTTTAGTAGCTGCCGATAGTCTTGACGATGTGCTGTTGGATAGATACCAAGTACCTGCTGCTGATCCCTATTAATCTGAAGATTGCTTCGATTCTTCGTGTGTAGGAATTCCAGCCTGCGAAACTCGTCTGCATTGAGGTTTGCTAGACTAGTTGCATCTGGCTTGATTTGCTGAGGCGTGGGCTCTGCCGGCTTGGCTAGAGCTGATTTAACTTCCTTGGAATGGTTGATGAATTGCCAATCGTTCTGGGCTATTGCAATTATCTAGTGACGCTGATCCATTGTTTCCGATCACCGGGGCGAGGCTGGTCCGGGATGAAGCTTCCGAATCCCTTGAATCCATTGTTGGCGATAACAGCAGTGGAAGTAGGTTTATAGCGTCAAAGATACGGACATCCGTCTGATCAACCTTCTGATCACAACGGCATGCGGCGTGCAATGGGATATAACTGCTTTCAATGAAGCCTAAGGGCAACCCGGGCTCCTAACTGTCATGCTATGAGGATCTATTCATTTGATGAATTGAAGGGTCTTAATTTTATATCTAAAAAAGCGACGAAAGTCGGCTTCTAATACTTATTTTCAGTCATAGGCAGCAGAGACAATCCGTAGGTAGTAGCTGTCTTGCCTTGTGCTAGTGTTGGTCACGCTATGCTTGAATCCGTTCAGGATACCTGATTTTGACAATACTTGAAGAAACCCACACTAGGAGAACAGATTTCAAATAGACGAGCAAGTAAGGTTTGTCTGCGCATAGTCGAAGGCATCCAGATACCCCATCAACTGGACTACAGCGGCGCATACCACCAGGATGTGAAAAATCGAATGGGAGCCGCATAGGTCGAATTTGCCCGGATATTGACTTTCAGGAAACCTGGTCTTTAGAACCATATGTGTTAAGGTCAATTTCTCTCTTATGTGAGAAGTTGGGAGACTTACTGCATAAAACGAAGTCCCAGATAGAAGGCAGCCTGCTTTTGCCATAGTATAGGGGAAAGCTTTTCTCATCATCTGCGACATGCCGAATACATTGAGTCCATGGACCAAGGGAGCAATACCGGACAAGCCAGTCGCCACGAACATCAATGCTCGGAAGAGGCGATATTTTGGGCCCTGGAACTTGGGATGCATTGTCATGAGAATGGTTAAAGTCCCGAAAACTCCAATCTATTAACCGAGGGAAGAAGAGTGTTAGACTCAAGTACCAGGTCTGAGATAAGGAAAAACAAAATTGTGTATATGGATATTAACTAACCATAGACCAGTAGATATTGCGTGGCAAAGGTTCACACCAGAAAATCATGTATATTCCCAATATAAGGTCACCTAGTATGAAGATTACTATACCCAGCATGTCCAGTCGCAGGCAGAAATGTTCCATGTGTTTAGAGTGGTTCATCAAGGTATGGTACGTCGCCGACAATGATAGACACGTGACGGCCGTCAACATAAAGATGGAGAAAGCAATAAAATCGGCGCCAGTGAACCCGGAATATCTGCTAGTAAGGTACTGCTGGATGTACCACTCGCCGAGTAGGAAAAAAATGGCCGGGATGAGGTGGGAATAGATGTTGACTGACTCGTTGTGGATATACGACCAACTGCAGAATGAAGCGTGAGCCGAGCCTGAGATAGGCCGATAGCCACGGAGAATCCATGGGTTGGATTCACGTCGGAACCATTCCGGCATCTCATCGAACGAGAGAAGAACTGGGCGCCCTGCGTTACCAGCCTTGGATGCGGTGTTACTGATGGATCCCATTCCCTCTGGCGACTGCAGGGGCGGAACTCGAAGACGGGGAGCGGATGCCATTTACTGACGTGCCTGATGATAATGTAATGTGGAAAAGCCGGACTTTGAGAGTAAGTAGAAATACAAGATGAAGAAAGGGGTGTCTCTCTTGCTTTGTTTCTTGCACTACTGCCCTTTTATTCGGTTGTTCTTGCTAAGCGCCAGCCTTGTTAGTTGCCCTGTTACAGAGCCCCACATGCAGCAATCAGGCACGACACATTCAACGCCACGATCGTCCAGGAAGAGGGATCAAGAGACGGTCAGGGTATCCCGTAGCCTAGAAATACATGTGGATGATCTCTGGCAACAGCCTGATCCGTATTGGTCTTTTTAGTTTACTTCATGACCCTAGAGCTGTCCACGATCCTGGCACGTGATTGCACCACTCTAACAACCTAGCCATGCTGATTTAATTATTGCTGACCGCACCTTACGCAGCCCCGACGGCTCGCGGGTGTGACAGAACGTGCAGGAACCAACCAGATCAGGTTTTTCAAGCCAGGATATTTAGCCTCAAATTATGCAATTGGTCCTCGCGACAAAAGCGGAGAATCTGTACGTGTCCTGTCCAGCACTGTCACAGGTACTCGTCCGTGTCTGCGCTATTCTCCAAATCTTTCCACCGGAAATTAGCTGACTACGTGTAGTGCGCCTGCTAGTGGCTGTGAGAAATTAGATATATTCTCACTTATCTATATTTTTAGCCTAAGGGGTAACAGAAATTAGTTAACTAAGGTATAAGTAGGCTTAGTAAGTTACTTACACAAAGGTTAAAAAAATACTAATTAAGAGCCTGTCTCTCCTGTAATATATTTATTACTATTTTCTTTAAATAAGTAATCACTTTAATTACCTATAATAATACACGCAATACTAGAAAGTTAACCTCGTACTAAGAATGTAACACTTGCAGGGGAATTGGCGCAGCTAATGTGGGTGGGCTGATCCTTTTCCTGATGGGGTTCAATTGGGTGTGCGGAGTTGATTTCGAGGAGTGCGCAGTTGGGGGTTCGAAGTCGTACCCCAAGTCCCTTCGTCCTTCCCCTCTTCTTCTATTGCTTTCATTTCCTTTTGGTGTGACCGGTCGTATTCCAGCCAATAGGAAATTCGCTGTGCTCCAACTGACACTAGGCACTAAGCCTTCGTCGCGGCTGCCTCGGGTTTGAGGTGGAGGGGCGACTTTACAATGATTTGTGTGTGACACAAAAGTAGCTGGCGCCCAAGTGGGAATGATGGTGAATATCCGGGACCATTCATTAGTTCTGGCACAGGCTCGGCTGGACGGCTGTAACCGCCAGGTTGTAGCGAAGGATCTGTGAGTGTCAGGAAACACACCGCGTTCCTACTGGGCAACTAATTCCTTATATACAGCCGACTACATCGGGGCGCAAAACTTGAAGGAGGAGAGAATCCTAACAGGATTGGAGGCCAAACACGCCAAGTCGTCTTGATGTTGCACAGCCTGATCCGATACAGCCTGGTCTGATCAATACACAGCACACTTCCATTGATCGACCAATGTTCTTCTAGCCAAAGAATTCCAGTGGAATCCTCAAACCTATCAGCTTGGATGCGCAACTATAAATGATAACACTGATTCTTAAAGCCTGCTGCAATCCGTGCTTGGATTATTCGCTCGAAAACGACCACAAAGGTCGGCAAAGCCGGCGTCACTAAGATCACGGAAATGCGAGGCCTGGCTACGGACAGATGCATTTCTGCAGCGCGATAATATTAGCGAAGCTGACCCAGAGAGCGTTACAAGGACTTTGCGCGCATTTGAACATCTTGTTCAAGACGACTCTGATAGAGAGAGAGATTTTGTAGGTATCCTTCATATACAGTAAACCCCAGTGTTTCGGTCTGTTGGCCTCTCATTTCCTGCCTACTAACGATAATTCGCGGAGCAGAGCTTCCAAAAATCCCGACATGAGCGGTATCCGAAGCTTCGCCGCATAATCGAGGATCCGAATCGCTATCCGCATGACGACCCAGACACTGTCATTCGCGTTAGTAAACGGAGACGAGAATGCGACGATACTATTCAGGAACTTTTGCATTTGGACTAGGAGAGAAAGAAGTGCCGAGTTCTGCCTCGTGAAGAGCCAACTCATGAGTCTAATCTCGAAGACCCTGATGCCGAATTTGCCATGCTGATGAGGAGACATCTGGTGTCCTTAGACAATGCGTTGCGAAGACACTGGGTATGCGTTTGCCAGAAGTGCTCAGGGTTAAGCGTGAAATTGTTGCTGCTACGACACAGAAAAGATCTCAAGGCTGAGGCAAGTTTCGAAGTATTTTTCGGCGTGCGATCCGTATCTGCAACTGCATTACAAGAAGCTAAAATTACGGTCAAGTAAGCTCTCGAAGCTTTATGTGCTGACTTTTATTCGCTAACACTGTAGGTACAGAGACCTACATAACAGCACATTGAGGCACTCATCTGAGCCTATAATTAGCAACCTACCTGACTTTGCCCACATATGCCAAAGCGTCACAGAGTCCCTCGATCAGCGAAATTGCTTGCATTTCGCTCTCGAGAATGGGATATTTCAGAGGCTTCGCCCGCAATTAAAGACATTTGGTAGCGACCGTATGTCTCAGACAGTATCCTTGTCGGCATTTTTCAATTGCCAGCAAGAATTACTTTGTGGTAAATCGGTACTGCCACTCAAGGGAAAACGAGTCTTGGCTGTTACACTAGTTTCAGCATTACTTCCCTTCTTAGAGATACCGTGGCTGCAGTTTTCTTTCAATCACTCAAAGATCCAGTTTTTTGAGTTATGGCAGGGCGGAGAACTCCCTAACATTACAAAATCTTTCCTAATACTGGAGCATATTCCAATGATTTTAGCCCGCAGTACAGATACCGGAGACAGCTCTGGCGCCACGAAACACATGGTTCATCCCAACGCCAGTGTACTAGCTCTGGGCATACTTTTGTGCGAGCTTCACTATTGCACACCTGTGGAGCTGATAGCAAAGGACCCGCATGTCGTCAGAAAGGTTAATAATGATTTTTATACCTGTCTCGATAAGCTTCAGACTCTGGAAGACGACGCTGGCGTAGACTACTATCTCGCTACGAAGGCATGCCTTACTGGGGAGTACTATCCCCTTGGACAGCACGCTGACTTCGAGGATGTCAGCGTTCAGCGGCTCTTCTACCAAAACGTCATCAAACGACTTGAGGCCGTAATATTCAAGGCATGAGGTATTCGATTAGAGAACTTGGGTTCATTCGATTCTCGACAGAATGAATTCTGCTGGGGCTCTATCGGTCGAGAAGTTGTCCGCGTCCATACAGGCAAGATCGATTCCTCTAATGCAAACAATACAGCAAGAGCAGATCTGCCTCGTTCAATGTCTGACGCTGCGCCCGTAAGTTATATATCCCTCTACTCAGATATTATGCTACGAATATCGGTACAGCCTTCTTCGGGATCACAAGCTTATAGATACCTCGTCGAGCCGTCAGAGAAGAGCTTGTACTTTTTTGATGTAAGTCACCAGACGGGTCCTGCACAAGAGTGAGGTATTTCCCATTGGCGATAAGACTTCGTCATACTAATGACCTGCTAGGAATTCACTCTCGGAAAAATGGATGAACAATCTGCTGTCCTCGATCTATCCCTATGTTGACCCTGATTTCGACCTTGCCGAACCGGTGCGAATAGCGATTTTGGACTCCGGACTCGACCCTGAAAATCCATTCCTGGTTGAGGATCAGCAACGGGCTAACCCACAAATCAAGGACGCACGAAGTTTTGTATATAGAACAGAACCGCACGACATTCAAGACGAGATCGGACACGGCACTCATGCTCTTGGCCTTCTTCTTAAAGTTGCCCCAGGCGTTGAGATCTATGTCGCCAGAATTGCGCGACGAGAGACTCTGGATCCTAATACCTACGATGACATTGCAAAGGCAAGGCTGTCTCTATACTATAGCATACTTTTTGGACTGACCTAACAACCTGTGCAGGCCATCGATTACGCAGTTAACCAATGGAAAGTGAACATTATATCAATATCATTCGGGATTCGTGAATATCACGAGCTTATAAATACAGCTATATCTAATGGACTGAACAAGCGAACGCTGTTATTCGCGGCAACATCGAATGATGGAGCAAATCTTGGTAGAGCTTTTTCAGCTCAATATCCTAGCGTCTTTTGTATACACTCAACCGATAGAAATGGCAATCCCTCCAATTTTAACCCTACAGCAAGCGAAACGGACGTCAACTTCAGTCTACTTGGGAAGAATGTCTCTTCTTACTGGCCGGCTGGTATAAACGAACACGACCAGACCGTCAATGTTATGTCAGGAATATCGGTCGCAATACCGATCGCCGCTGGCCTTGCCGCAACGGTCCTATCTTTTGTCCGGCAGCAGGATCAGTACATCACTGTAGAAAGCGAAAGGCTGGGACCGTGGCTGAAAAGGGACAATTCCATGGATGCAGTCTTCAAGAGTATAGTTAAACGGAGGCGGGGGGTAGGCTACGACTACATTACATCTCATGTACTCTTCGATAGCGGTTCGACAAGGGAGGATATTTACGGGCAAATCAAAGATATCAAAAGGAATATATACAAATACTAGTAAAAGTCTAGGAATGGCTAACTCAACCTCCAATCACACAAGGTTCATTGATATCTATCTCAGTTGTAGTCCAAGAATCGTTTAGCATAACTAAACGGGAACGCAATATACGTTACCATTCTCGGTCACATCTGGAACAGCTTCAGCAGTCCTGATATTAGCTCCATTTACGTCTTCAACTAAAATACATTCGTCGTTATCTTTTCCCCCGCTAACTGTCATAAATGCGCCCTTATTGTACTCTTCAAGCTTCAGTTTCCGCCCAATCTTGAGTCTTTTCACGCGAAACGCAAATACAAATTCCGACTCGCGATTGGACTGCGTCGCATCATTATTCGTGCTAGTCCAGTGGCCTTTCGGCTCAAAGATCGTGCCCAGCATGTTCACGTCGATGCCGAGGTTCCCCTTGACCGTCGTGCTCTGTAAAGTTGAGTATTTGATCTTGGCGCCCTTGACGAGTTTCATGCCCGTGACGACGAAAAGCTCGCTGACGAGTGCGAACTTCTGCCTGGGCTCTCTCAGCCATGTCTGCACGGCTGGTGCTTTGACGGCCTTTTCCACGTATTCCTGGGTCGGCTCGAACGCCAGCGTCGTTACCGTGTCGAACGCGAACGTATTTGCCGTTTTGTTCGAATGCTCAACGTTTACCTCGGGACCAAGGGGCAGTCCACCAGTAGCCAGTTACAGGAACTGTGCATAGACACCCAAACCGAGCCCTATCTTGGTTGAAACAGTCTTTTTCCAGTCGGTCTCTACGACAAGTAGAAATGCATTAGCGACAGTAACAATGCTCGCTCTGTTTAGAGGGTATTGCGGTGCTAACGTAGAGCGGATTATAGACCCAAGACATAGCGGGCCCGTTGGTAGTAGAGATATGAAATCGGATGTCGGACACAGAAAATATGTCTTGGTAAAGGACATAGCTTCAAGATTCAGGTTCAGATACCGGATTTTCCTTTGGACCGAGTGAAATGATCGAAAGACCAGAAAAAGAGTGTGTTCAGAGAGGCTCGGTTCCTAAAACGTAATCGGCTTATTTTCTAGTGCATATCCACGGCGACAGTAACAATCACTCACGTGCCCCTTGGGTCGAAATCCCGCACGGGCCCTTGCTTCTCATTCCTTCTGTCACACTGCCAGACCGGCCAAGCTCGCAGGCCAATCGAGTCGTGTATGTTGATCTGGCCGCCAGGTAGCGCAGCCGGGCCTCTGATTGCGAGCGGTTAGCGTATTTTAGATTCGCAACCCGGTAGCACCGAAAACACATGCTGTTTTCACATCATCTGACACTTTCAATTTGTGCTATATTTTTATAGCCTCAGTCGAGATTTGCTCACCTAGGACCTTTAGAACGTCCTTTCCATGTAGAGACCAGGATCGGCTTCCTGGATCTTTGCACTCTCAGAAGGTCTCGCGACCGCCCGCACTGCGCCCCTTACCATGGAAAGTCACGAGTGCGCCGAAGACGAGTTTATGGAAGATGTCTTCCTCCAAAATGATCTTAGCCTGATTATCGCAGACCATGCGACACAATGCCAGTCTCTTTTCCACAAGTACATGGTCATGCCGGAAATCGTACCAGACCCTACTATCATGGACGACCAGCTGGCACGTTTTACTCTATAGGCATCAAACATGGATGTTTACGGGCCGCCCAATGTCTCGCTGGACTACAGACTCCGATTCAGTCCCGTGGCTGCAGATATCATACATCAGCTCCTAGATATTATCTACGATACCTTGCTGTCTTGTGAGTACTTTCCGTACCACATTCGGATAGTTTGAAGATCAAGGCTAACGGGAGTCTCGATAACAGTGAAGCCAATCGATGACCGACTACCACAAATCTCGAGCAGGAAGAGACAACGCATTTCAGTACATAACGACTCTAGATTCACGAGGAAATCCGATAACAATACAAACGATTTAGAGAGCGATATCAATCTAGCAGAAGAGAACACTCTGAAGATTACCGAGACAATCGGCGGAACATTGATACGGCTCTTCCGTCTATTCAATGCCGTCCGAAAATCCGCTAAAACCAACCGGGCTCGCAAGATCGAAAGGTACAGAGACGACGAAGAGGCAAACAAGGCAATAGATAAGTTGCGACTCTATACCAAATGCTATATTGAATTCCGATTTCCGGAGGCGCCGGAGGCGCTCCGCTCAGCATTAGTCGAAACCAACGCGCTACGACTTCGACGGCTGTATTATCAGCGCTCCTATAGAAGGCGCATTGACCTAAGTATTCAGAGCCCGGAAAAGACTCCAGCCGTTGTTTAACTCTCCAAAATGACGGTAAATGCGCCAGCTGTACGGTTTGCGCCGAGCGCGCTACTAAAGCCTGCGAGGACCGACACAATGCCGGCTGCTGCGCCAGTGCCAGCAACGAATGCGATTACTGCTCGATAAACTGCCGTTGCGGACTTTTACGTTAAATCTACAACTGAGGTTCCCCGGGCTAAATCTGTTCTCGTGAACGACAAGTTGTCGTTTCTTCCGATACCGCCGACGCAGCAGTGTCCATACTGCGGCATCATTATTGAGTTTAAGAACAGTGCAAGGTCACTACTGTGGCAGTAAACGGGCAATTCCTGTCTTCATAGGAATATGTGGCTAACATTCACCAGAAATCATGTTATTGGAGACCTGGAGCCTTTTATTTGTGTTTTTTCACACTGCCTGGAAGGAGATTACCACGGGCACGGGGCCGGCCCGCTCACATTCGAAACATCGAAAACCTGGGCTAGCCACTTGCAGACTGCTCACGGGCATACATGGAAGTGCAGGGCCCCTTCTCATGATCCAATTGTCTTTGACCAAGAGATCCATTACCAGGAGCATTCCATCAAGGAGCACGGCGTGCCTGAAGCGCACGTTAGGACCCTCAGCAATGCCGCACGGAGGCCAGTCCTCGATAAGGTACTGAAGTGTCCATTTGGCAACGATTTTTAACCCTCGGGAAAGGCCGAATCCAGCACTGTCTTCTCGAGTGAGGCTCTCCAGTCACACGTCGCCGGTTACATAAAGGAAATTGCTCTGCTTATACTGCAAAAACTTCCCAGCGACGATAACGAGAACGCGGAAAACGTCGATAGCGACCAACCGTTCGAAAATGATGGGCCGGGCAGGGCTTTTGGAATTACACGTACATCTATGAACAGCGTACTGGATGACGAGAACCTGGATTTCCAAGACGATGACGCTGAAGCTTCAGATGGCAATTTGGGATACCGCGAAAAGGACATCACTGCACGGGTGACAGAACTCGCCCTAGAGGACAAAGACGACTTGGGGATGACAAAGCTTTACCACGCGATGCAGGCCGGCGATCTGGGCTTAGTTGAGTCTTTGCTTCAGAGCGGCGCAAGTGCAAATTTTAGGGACGAAAATGGCCAAACGCCCCTGCATTACGCTGCGGAGAAGGGCTTCATCGACTGCATAAAAGTCTTGCTTAAACACGGCGCGGATTTACGTATCATTGATAACTCTGGATTTTCCCCGTTTCTCTGGGCTGTGGTGGCCGGGCAAGAAGGCGCCACTGCGGGACTGGTATTTATGGACGCTGATGTCAATTCATTTAGCGCGGATGGAAAGTCTGCGTTTGCTTGGGTAGCTAGTCTGGGATGATCTCCGACTGCTGAAATGCTTGTTAAATACCGTGCCAGCATATCTGATACCCGAAATACGCAGCAGACTCTACCTTTGGAAGAAGCGACAGCTTCTGGCAACCTTATCACTGTTCGATTGCTCCTCGAATGTGGTGAGGATCCGAACCATCGTGATCGCGATAGTTGGTCTGCGATACATTGGGCGGCAGAGGAAGGCCATCTGGAGATTGTGCGTTCGTTGCTGAACGCTGGTGCCAACCCCAATGCTGTTAGCTTTTACGGTACGTTACCGTTGCACTGTACTGCAAATGGAGGGCATATTTCCATTGTGAGCTTGCTCCTCCTACAGCGAGCCGACCCACTCAAGTCAATATGCTACGGCTGGACTGCACTACATTACGCTGCCTTCATGGGGCACTCCCAGGTCATCCAATGCCTCTTAGAAGACGACCGTATACGATCCACTGCCTCTCAGCAGGATAATCACGGCTGGTCCGTTCTTCATTTGGCCATTTACAGTCAAGATCTAGCTACCGTCTATATCCTGCTCGACAAATCCGTCATTGCGGAGCCTCAGACCCTATTCGACAAAAACGGTTTCACTGCAGAAGATTGGCTGGATCGCGGGCCGACAAGCCATTCCCAGAAAGCCACCGGCAACTTAGCGTTCAGCAAGTCGCGCTGTTGCCGGGCCGTTACAAGCCTTCGCCAAGCTGTTACCATGGGTAACGTTCCTATGATCAAACTTCTGTTCAAATTAGGTCATGATATCAATGGCATGAACTCTGGAAGGAGAACTGCGCTCTACTACGCCGCAAAGAAGGGCATGTTTTCTATCATAAATCTGCTTCTTGATCTGGGTGCGGATCCCAACATTATCCCCGCAGGGCGAAAGAACTGGAAAGAATTTATTTCGGCTGATAACGTTTTACTGCGGCTCAACCGAGCAGGATACTGGAAGCGAGATACCGACCCTGAGGTAGAGCGCCAGATTCGTCAGTTACTTAGAGTGCAAAGTCAGCCGTCTGTGCCGAATCAACCAGCCTGGTCCATATCGGATGAGTCGACTCTACAAATGCCAGACCAATCTGTCTCCCATGAGCCGGACCGACAGTTCTCATCTGTTCCAGCTTCGTCTACGCCACCTTCTACAGATCATGCAGCTTCAAGTAAACTGACACACTCGCCGGTGCCTACACACCAAATAAATGACAATAAGCGTAAGGCAAGGTCAGGCCCGACAAATTGGTGGAAACGGCTCATGGGTAGAAGATAGCGACCTCGGTCCTTAAATACGAGAGTGAGGAGCGACAGAATGGTTACGGGCTGTATCGGCCTTGAGCTTTGACAACGAGGTTTGGAATGTGACATGGCTCATGTCTAATTATAGCAGCAGCTTCGATTCAGTAGATTCGAAACCTGCGGATTGGGTGTCCTCTGAGCAGAAAAAAGGGAAATAATTCTGGCGCTCATGATGTCTGTGAATGAAGGGTCAAAGGTACATTTAGATGCTTTCCGTGTAAATGAATTTCATTCGACTAGAAACCTTTTTAACATTAACGCCAAGGGCAATACGTAAAGCACAATTATGAACACAGGCTCAAATTTTCCTCGTGACTTAGCTCTGCCACTTCTCAGGGAGGATTATTGCACAATGCTTTATGAACCAAGGATGCGATTCATCATATGTCCGATTCCCGGCAGGGACTGCAGATGCTGTTCTACTCTTTGTCTCGGTAAGCCCCTAGATGATGTCAAACCATACTGCTTCCCAATGATTAGGCACTCCACAAAAGTCTTGCAAGCCCGCTTCTGAAGCGACCCCGGAGGTTCCTTTGCTATGAACGCCCCTATTTCTTCCGGGATGGCCTCACCAATCAGCCACCGGTGAGCGCTGGCATTCTCCTGGCAAAGAATAAAGCATGCTGCTGGGGGTATGTCGAGAAAGCGGTCCTGTCCCTTCTCATGGGCCTGCTGGGCGAACCGGAAAATACTGGTCAGAAAGAGACGTAATTTTGCAGAGTCGCGACTTTCGCTGATGACGAATAGCTCATTAGCGCACGCCTGATTCGCGTCGCTGAACAATTCAACCTCGTAACTGCTGCCGATGTATCCTTCGAAGAACTCCGCGACGACCCGGGAGAAATACCCGATCGGCCCTGGTTCCTGTTTGTCGATCATGGCGAAGTGGCCCGTCATGAGTAGGGCCGTCCGACGTACGTTCTCTTCCCGGTTCCCATTCCGAACACAGCCATCGAAGTCGCTCAAAAACTCGCGGATACCGAAGTGGAAGAACTCCAACGCGTCCCTGTCGCAGCCGATGGCGGCCCAATCTGAAATTGCCGCAGCTGTGATAGCATCTCCTTCTCTCCATCCGTGTCGGACTGCCGTGAGTTTCGTTTCCATGCCGGTGAAGACCGTGATGGCCAGAAGTGCCTGAAGATCTCTGGGCGCGGCCCTCTGCAAGATCTGCGTCGACAGGTCGCCCATGGCCTTCAGCTTCTTCGGTTTCCTGGCAACAACCAGCCCCAAAAAGAACGTATTGTACAGTTTCGCCCATGCTCGCAGTTCGTCCGTTTTGTTCTCCTGGACGAGCTCCTGCAGTACCGACAGACTGTCCCAGCGGTTCAACGCCACAAATTTGAGATAGAGGGACATCAATTCGAGAACGAGGGGAAAGCGGAGAGAAAGGCCCAGCCCTTTCATGACCAGGCCGACAAATCGCGACGAACGCTTGAAGCGTGCGAGGAAGACCTGCTCCTGGAGCCCAAGTAGCTCTTTCACCCGCTCGTCCACTGGATCCGTAGGTCCCCTCAGGGAAGGAACTCCCAGCAGAGCTGGCAGTTTGTCCACCCGTGCTCCGTGCTCAAGTAATTCCTGCGTCATTTCTCTCGAATTCGCCAGAATGGCTCGCATCAACGGAGTGTCCGTGTCGCCATGCTCCGCCGTGGCCTCGAGACGGGCGCCGTGTTCGAGCAGCACAGACACGACGTCCCTGTGCTGTCCGGTGACTGCGATATGAAGTGCCGTCAACATGCTTCGATCTTTGAAATTGACACGCGCACCATGGTCAAGCAGCAGTTCCACCATTTCTCGGTGACCTTGGTTGACGGCCCAGGACAGCGGCATCCGGCCATAGTTGTCCTTTCGCGAAATGAGGCGGGGATGCTTGCTGGTTAACAACTTGGCCCAGGGTACGTTGCCAAAGTATGCCGCAAGATGCAAGAGTGTAAAGGAGGGAGGGCTTCCGCCGTTCTTCTCTCGCTCCCAGTAGACTTCCCACCATTCGTCCCGGATCGGAGAGTCAACTCGGAAGAACGGACGTGAGAACTCGGACGGTATATCGATCACATGAATGGCGTGGTGGAAATGCACCGGCCAGTACTGGCTGGCATAAGATAAGAAGGGATTGTGGCCAGACATTTCATGAATCCTTCCGGAATTTCCGTATCCGCGTTCGACGTGTGCTAAACAGGTCTGCATGAGAGTCCTGTGTGTATCCTGGCTCATATGGAACATGTTGATCCCTTTGATTTTGACTTGATCGCTCTGAAAGAATTCCTTCGCCGATTCGTGAACCAGGTTGACGACATCTCCTTCGACCTTCACGAGCAACCCGCCGAACCTGAGCCGATTCTTGGTCACTTGCGTTGCTGGAAGAGTACCAGCCGCCTTGACCCCTGCGGCCACGGTCAATTCTTCCAGTGTGAGGGGCCGGGCAGCGAGAACGACCCATTGAAGAATGGGGACTAATGCTTCCTTGTCGTCGATCTGCTGAAGAAGCCGCTGATAAATACCACCCAGGCCTTTAGGAACATGGTGGAGAACTTCATTGATTTTGCTCCAACTCCTGCCCTGAAGCTCATTGGCAACGAATCCAACCCACAGAAAGGTCCCATCAGCGCCAGCCAGCAAGGTCTGCTGAACCTGCGCGACCATCTCTTCAGAAAGATTTTGCTCGGATGCCAGTTCCGCAACTTTAGCAAAGATGTACCTCTCGACATCATGCGAAATTTCCGTGTCAGAGGTGTCTAACTGGATCTGATGATATTGGCCGAATTTGCTCTCCAAAACTGCTGGCTGAGGTCGGGAGAGGATAATGAGTTTCAGTCGTGGCCTTGCCTTTTCCCCAGATTTCGACAAGTAATTCCCAACGGCATCAATAAGCTGCTTGAGTGATTCCTTTTCGCATTCATCCAGGCCGTCCAGAACACAGACTACCTTGGAAGACGTGCTCTGCTGAAGTAGGGTCAGGAAAACCCTCCACAACGAGACAAAACTGGAAATAGTATATTTGGTTGTTTCCGTCCCCTCGAAGGAGTTCTTAATTTCTTTGGCCAGATGCGGATGGAGATTAACCCATTGATGCAGGATGCCTCTCATGATGGTCAAAGCGGTGTTCCGATTCTTGTCGCGGTTACTGCAGAAGTAGTATAAAAGGACATTATCGGCGGCGTCAACCACTGGCTGTAGCATCTCGGTAATATAAATCGCCAGCATGGTCTTTCCTTTTCCAGGACCACCCGAGATCCAGAGGAGTGGGTGATTCGCATCTGCCAGCCACTCTTGATAATGGGGATGCTGTATGAGCCATTCGCAGGTGCCGTCAACCCTGCGTCCTTTCAATGCAATGAGGGACTTCCGATCAACCTCGGGTCTTGTCAGAAGCAAAGCGTCAAGAACAGGCGCGGCCTCGACATACGATTTTGTCGCCAGAGGTATCGTCTTAGACACCGTGGGTATGAAAGAGAGGACCTCTTTTGCGTATGCTGCGGCAGCCGCTGCGGCGTAGGCGTGCCAGAGCCCCGACCTGTGCGAATCTGCGTAGTCGCAAATTCCTCGGATGACCAAGTACTGGGCGGCATCCCTCAGCCCGGTTGCGTCCGTCTCGAAGCAGAGAATGTCATGCTTGTGTGCGAACTTGTCCCGGGTCGCTCCGTCGCGCGTCAAATGATGGCTGGAGGCAATCAGGCCATAATGAATTATGGGGTCCTGTACCTCCCGAGGCTGCCGGGATCGGATTCTATCTGGATCGCAATGATTGCATCCGCTTTCTTCGGATTCGATAGTTGCATGACCATAATTCGGCTCGAAGACGATGTCTTGCTCTGGGCCAGGGTGGGCAAAGGTGACGGGGTCTTTCTGCACGATCTCGGAGATGTACTGGGGCACCTTACTTTCACCAAAAATGGCGGCTGTCTCGGCCTTCCCCATAGCTGTGAGAAGCAATGGTGTCGGCTGATTTAACGCTCTGCCGCGAACAAACTGATCTTCCGTTCGCTCCCCGTTCACGTCATACTGGACGACACCTGGCCAGTCAGCTTTCGACTTGCTGACAACAATATCACCAAGACGAATATCCTCCTTCGTATCTGGTACTCCTCCTGCAATGCCGACCATGAGATTGAACCGGACAGATGTGTAGTTTGCGTGCAACTGTGTGGCCACGTCGGCTACTGATGTTTTTCCACACACCCCGGGATTCGGATACGCCACAACGACATTGTGGCCTTGAAGACTCCCCAGAATGTAGTTATTGTTGTCGCCTGAGTTCCGATCCGGAGGTAGATTGTCATGGACGCGATCAAGCGTTGCTTTGGCTGCGGCGACCTCTATAGGCAGTGCGCAAACCCACCCGACCGCGTAGTCATCACGGGACGCCATCTCCGGCCAGGGCGCAGGTCAAGAAATGAGAGACTCCAGGAACGTCGGTGCCGAGGCGTTATGTTAGGTATGTCGAAGCTGCCTGAACTGTCTATGTATTATTTGGGACGAGGTCGACTTTCTGGGACATTACGCGCATTATTATGGGCGAGCAAAGTAATTAATTAAATTAGGATTACAGCAACAAACATGACAGGATAGGCAGGCTTTTAATATTTGCATTCCCCTTTAGCCTGTGTGTAAGCAACTTGCTTGAGCCCACTCACAGCTTAATTTCTTAATGTCCATTAGGCCAGAAACATGCACAACCTGGAACCTATCCAATCAAAACCTTAAAAACCCTGGTCTGTTTACGCAAACTGTTACAGTGGAATGATTTGGAGAACGGCACGAGCACGAACTAGTACCCGTGACGGTGCCTGATAGGATCCTTGTCGCGCCCGCTTCATGATTGTTCTTTTGGCGCTAAATGACAGGTTCTCAATGACCCTAGCCTTTTTAGAGTGTTCAAGCCTGTTCGAAACCTCCGAAACACCAGTGAGAAGACATGTCCACGAGGGCGGTCGTGCGACGGGCCACATTTACGCCACCTAAGCAGTGACTGTTGCTTTG